AGAAGTCTCAATTGGAATACCCTTCTGGCTGACGAACACAAGATAAGGTTCCCAGATACGGTCGTGCTGGGTGACGGGGAGGGCGCAGAGAGCCCTGTCGAAGGTCCTGCGCGTCCGAGTAACCAATTTCTGATTGGTTAGGGTTTGCAGATACATAATCCAAATTCGCGGCATCTTGTGCATGGTGACTAACGCACGCTCGAAGGTGTTATTGAGCGTGTCGTATTGAGCGTGAGTGACGGGAAGGTTGCGAACGAGATCCAGGCGCTCGCGGAGGTAGGCGTGCCACAGCTTGTAGCTTCCGGGAAGCGCCTTCAGAGCCCGCTCGTAAATCACGAAGCGCTTTTTGAACGGAGCTTCCGCACGCGCGATTAGGTAACGCCACCATAGCTTAAGGCTGAAAGGGTTTCGAAGCAACTCCTCTTCGTACAAAAGGTCGTCTTCTGAGGGATACAAATCTTGCGCAATAGCCATTTGCACTCTCTGGGTGTAAAACCCTAACTAACTCTTCTGTGAGTGTTAGTGGGAGTAGAAAACACCACGCTACGCTCTATTTGGAGTTTCAATCAAATTTGACCAAGGTTTGGAGATGCTGCAGCTAGCACGATACCCAGAGGGTTTGGGATTTAGGGTGTTCAACGTGAATTTCCCGTTCCAACATGTTTCAATTTTTACCGGTTATTATCTATGGGCCGGGTCTCAACAGACAATAACAAAGGCCCAAACTTAGCAACATTTAAGCTTTCGATATTTTTTTTCCCATGTTTCTTATTTTAGACAATCCTACAAGATATACGATAGTTTAAGACAAAAAAACAAAACTTTTTGTAATGCATTTACTCTTTACGCAGTTTAAGAACCTTAAAGCTGTGTTTTTTATTTTCTTTTTGATCTTCTTGTTTAACTGGGAAAAAAAAGAATAAAAGAAGCGAAAAGAATAAAGACAGAAAGACAAACAATTGAGTAAAACAAAACAAAAGTAATTTAATTAAAATATACTTTATTTATTATTATTTGAAATTAAAAACTCAGAGTAGCTAAAACAAAAATAGATGGACAAAGTAATCTATTATTTTCTTCTGTAGTCAACAGAGTCTTAATTCATGAATCAGTCGAGTTTATCAGGAGTTTAAGTTGGATTAAATTGAAAAAAATTTAAAAAATAATTAAAGCTAGTGCGAATCACCTAACTTTGATTAATCCTTTTCTTTTTAATATTTCAATTTTAATAATACCCTTCTATTCCCGTACAATTATAAAGAAAAAAATATTTTAGTGAATTAATCCATCAATTCATTCATTTTATGCAAAAACACTTAAGTTTCCATTTTTACAATCACAAGCTAGTTTTTTTTCTTTCTAAATATAAAAATTAAGAGAAATTTTGATGATACAGATTGATGAAAAATGATTAATTAATAAGTTGATAATAGGGTAACTAAGAATAAATGCTTATAAAAGGCCATTCAATTTTATAAAATTAGTCTAATTCAATTTACCACAACTTATTTATTTGTTCTAATCCGTTTTTTTTTTCAACTTATACTTATATTCATAGTTTTATTCTTTTCCCCCTTATCCTTTCAACTGCATTTCACATGTATCAACACAGAGTGCATGTCTTGAACCATTCATCCTGTGGCAAGCAAAAAAATAATAATAATAATAATAATAATAAAATAGGGATTTCTTAAACCTACACATATAATTTTTATTTTTATCTTATTTTTGTAACTACCATATTAAAGGCAAGTTGAAGAATAATTGAGTTTGCAAAACATTAGTGAGTGATTCTGAAACAACAAAACTAATCACTTTAAAGTGTCCCTTTTGAATAGTATTCTTTTCACCCAGAAAATCTTTGAATTCAAAACATTGGTGAAAGAAGTTAAGCTCAATAAAACTCAACCATCAATAATTCTGTGTTGTAATTAAACCTCCAAAGTAGAGTGAGGAAAAAGTAATAGTGTAGTAAGTAGGAAGAGGAAGAAGAATAAAGAGCGAAAGGGAGAGGGGGGAAGAAGGGTTGTTTTCAACTGCTACACGTCGATGCCGTAAGCAGCAATGATATGTGTTGGGCCACACGCAACCCCCTCTCTCTCTCTTTCTTCTCTTTCGTCTCGTCTTTCGTAATAATTGAATACAAACCATGCCACACCACGCACTTCCCATCACATATCTCTTCAAATGCCAATGAATAATATACTATATACTTATAATATTCTAATACACACGCGTTTTCCTTCTCTCTCTCTCTCTCTCTCTCTCTCTCTCTCTCTCTCTTTCTGTAACCCTTTCATCACCCTCTATTCACAAATCCATTTCCTTGTGACCCTTTGGAGTTCTTCTGATTTTCATGTCTTCCTCCTTCATCTGCCTTTTCCGACGTATGTGATTACGATTATGTCGCTGTCCATGTCTGCTTCCTCGCCGGCCCACCTTTGCTTTAGACAAACCCAGGATGTCAATCCCTGTTCTGTTTCTTGTACCGTGTTACTCGCGCTGTGTCTAACACAAAATTTGCATCTTTTCACGTTTTCTTCCATTGGGTCACATCTTAATGTCTTCGATGCCTGCTAAATGATGTTAGATCCGTTTCACTTCTCCTCCTGCTTGTGTTCTCAAACATAAGCAGTAGCCTCACTCACTTACTCTCTTGTTTTGCCTTTTGGTTTCTCTTCGGAACCCAACCCTTCTCTTTGCGCGTGTCCCGTAATCTTCTCCAATCCCCTATGCACCCTCACGAAAACAAAAAAAGGTTAAAAGCAGTGTGGGTTAGTGTTCAGTTCAGATATGGAACACAAGCGCGAGAGAGAGATGTATCTTAGAGATCCATCATCCCCACATGAGGAGGTATGAGTCAGATTGCCACAAACTCATGGTGCTGCCATGCCATTGTGGCTGAGTGTGTGTTCACACAATTTTATTTACTTTGTCACATGATTTTGTGGAGAAAATAAAAATGAAGGAACAGCGATTGCAAGCTGGTGAAAGATGCATTCACGGGTGCATTTGATTATCAGTTGGTACACCAGAACAAGCTCCACAGCTTCATTTTCTGCTTGACTCTTCTTAATTCATAAATTCATTCATGGCAATGTTTGTGCATGATTGAGTGGGGGTATGTTCGTCAATACACTTTGCTTTCTGGTGTTTTTATATGTTTAATAATGTGTTGTTGTTGGTAAGAGAGTATTTATGTATGAGCTTACAGAGTATATTTTCAATTCAAGGGCTGTATAATTAATGAAAAAAATATTATATACATTTTTTTTTGTGGTGTTCATGAAAGCTTTTAGTTTATAGCATGGGACTACATAATATGGGTAAGGCTTGAGGTCTGGGTTCTTTCCTTTAATTAGTTGTAGTTGTTTGTCTTTTTCTTCCCGTACTATTGATATTTAATAGATATATGAATTTCTATTTCTATACTACATTCTCAACATCTGACATGGGTACATTAGGGATCTTCTAATAATTGTTTTATGTAATGTTTTATAACTCTTAATTTTTGTATGATATATTTGAGTAAAGAAATATTTAAGAGCACTTATGTTTGTATAGATTTAGAGTCTGTTTTAGTATATTTAAAATAATATATTTTTAACAAAATTAACTTATGGATAATTTTTTTTTATTTATAAAAAAAAGTTCATCCGAAAATGTGTATATATAAGATAATAAGGTAGACAGTGACTGTTGCGATTGTAATACCTTTTTCAAAGCTAGACTTGGATTGGTCTATTATAACAATATATGATTTAAAAGAAGTGGTATAATTGGTTTCTACTAAAAAAGGTAAAACTAAAGAAAATTGAATGTAATAAATATTATTTGTTGTCTTTTGGGGTATATAATATTTGAACAGTATTCTTGCGGTAAGTGCTAAATGTAAAACATTTTGGTTTTAATTTCAAACGGTAATCCTTGTCATTTAATTAATATTTTTTTTAAAATAGGACAACTTGCTCCAAACTCTTGTTGGTTCATCTAAGAATTTTTTAAGAATATAAGTTATCAATTTGTGGAGGGAGACCAAATTTTTTTGTCAATTACTCTCTACATAGATAGACCAATTTTAATCTTCATTAAATTAATTAACTAATCTTGCAATCAATTGCAGACATTTTAACTTGCAATGGGATTGTAAAATGTAATGTATGGTTGTTGTGATTTTACTAAAGTGTTTGTTTCTATAAGAATTTAGGTCAATAATGGTTAATATTCTTAGGGATAGTAAAATTTTTGTTATCTTACCCATTAAAATTGGTCTATTTAATATTATACCTTCTTGAACAATTCTAGAAATTATACCCTTCTCTCTTTAAACTTCCGTTCCCAATTTTTACTATTATTATTATTATTATTATTATTATTATTATTATTATTATTATTATTATTATTGCTCAAACTTTGTTTAAATTCTATACAATTGATGTATGGCTATAACCTTTCCTTATCTCTATTTTATTACTTTATTCTTTGTTTTCGTTATTCTTATTGTTTAATTATTCATGATTTTTTTTTGTCTTTAATATAATAATAATATTATAAATTTGCCCATTATACCCATTTTCAAGTTTCTCCATTATGTTTATGGTTTATAGACATAATTTACCGAATATTTTGTTATAATTCGCTATTTTACATGAACCAAAAAGATAATTTACCGAAAGAAATTAAGACAAAAATGTATCATTTCAAAAGTGAGTTAACTAGCTATTGTGTACATAGTTGTGATTGTCTTGCTATTGCAACTCTATGAGAATCCAAAATAGTGAAGAATAACTTAATTGGTTCTATGGCTTCAAAAGGTACGTAGCATGTATGAATAATATCACACAAAGAACTTGTTTGTTAACTCCTGCATATGAAATGCCTAAATCTGAAGGAAGCCATGGCATAGGGTCTCCATTTTGCGCTGCTCCTTCTGCATGCCCAGATGCTAGTTTCAGAATGCAAAATCCAAAGTTGGGGTTGGAAAAGTCTTCTAAGATTTTTCAATACAACAAGTGAGGTAAAAGTGATGTTAAGAGAGGAAACAGAAGCACAATGACAAGTACAATGCCAAGAAGTATGGCATAACAAGTCCACTGCCTTGAGCTCTTTTGATACTCTCTGGCTTCCTGAAGTTGCTCAGTGCCTCTTCGCACAAAGGAACTTGCATGTGCCACATTACTCTCGATGTTATTCAACTGTTGACCCTGAGACTCTACAAGAGCTGCCATGTCCAAAAACACCTGATGCAGCTCAATCAAGCTCTTCTCTATGTCCTTAACAGCATCATGTCTCTCTTGAATCTCGGATATGGTGTCCATTATCTGACCCCTCCCTTGTTCTTGAATCGCCTTCTGAAGAAAACTCTCACTTTCTCCACTTGATATCAAGTTCTCTATGGTGTCTTCATCAGCCTTCTCTCCTGTTATGGTGAAGTACCTGCGCTCCACGGTTTCCTTGTACTCATTCTGCATTCTGATTCTCAACCCTTGAAAATCATCCATCATGTCCTTCAGTTTCTTACCTAAGCCACTAACCACCGAGGTTCTTGTTCGATCCGCGGAGGAACCTGGACCACAGCCTGGAAGGTTTCTGTTGGCTGCATTTGAACGCTCTAGAGATTCAAGCTTTCCTTTTATGACCTTAACGCTTTTGAGGACCTGCTGAATATCTTGGTCCATTTTGGCTCGAAGATCCTTCATGGTCTTAGCATTATGCACAATCTTGCTCTCTTCATTTGACTCTTGCAATTTTCTATACAACTTCTCAACTGATCTCATGTCTTCCTTGACATTCTCCACCTCGTTGAAGAAGTTATCCAGGTTGACACTTTCCTTCCCAGTCTCCACATCGATGACGTGAGACTGATCGTTCAGGTCGCTGAACTTTTTGAAGGAGCTTGAGAATAGGTCGTTCATTTTGATGAACAATTACTCAAGCTCCTCCACTCTCGATTTTATTTTATTTTTGTGTTAATTGATTTCCTGTGTTATTTGGTTATATCAAATAACAAGGGCAAACCAATTGTTTGATCTAACACAATGGTTTGGATTGTCTGTCCTCGTCCTCCTATGGATTCCGATCAGTTTTACCAATAGGGAGGAAATGGGGAGGTGACAAAGGGCAAACCAATTGCCACCAACAAAAGAGTTTTTAGGCGAAACTCCTTTTTTCTACTGGGAGTGGAGGTATATTAGAGGTGCATGGTTAATGTGAAATGGGAACCATCAAATCAACTTCATTCTAATCATAGAAGGGTGTTTACACGTTAGATACACCCAAATGGCAATGCGCTTTTTTCTGCTCATATTTTTTTCTGGGGCATTCAGCAGCTCTAATTTAACGTTTTGTTTTATTCAGTAAGCTTGGATTATTCACTCATTCATTCATATTTTGTTGTCATTTTCTTTTATGGCAAAAAATTATCAATACTTTCTTCTAAAGTAATAAGAGAAATTATTAATATGATATCTTGTTTCTCGTCCCATAAATTATAATCTCACACTTTTCTTCTACTAATTGTAGTATTATTTAAATTATTATTACTATTATTACTATTCTTATTATTCATTAATTTTTTCTACTCTGTTGGTCCCTCTTGTTAAATTCTGTTATTTTCTTGATTTTTTTATATGGCCTCTATAGTTAACTTTCATTATTACAATGTCGTTGTAAAGTTTGTTTAAAATTGGATCATCTATGTTGAGAAGCCAACCAGAAAATCAATTACAAAACTAGAGTACTTGTGAATTCACCTCCTCTAATCACAAACAAACTCGTAATAATGTTGTTATTTCCCAAATTTTACTTTAGAATTTCAAAGAAATGACATAATTTAAACAATAAACATCCTATTGAATATTTGATAGTGAATGATAAAAAGTTTAGCTTTATAGTTGTTTATAGTTTAACTTTATTCCTATAGAGTTTATGTGTATTATAAAATGTAGTTGATTAAAACAAAATAAAATTTACAACTTTAATAACATTCATCAAATATAGACAAAAATAATTAAAATCGTATAGTTAATTGACAACATTAAATCTATAAAGATCCAACAAAATTAAAATAGTCCTCACATCAACATACATTAAGATAAGAAACTTAATCACAAAAACTAAATACGAAAAGAATTATCAATGATTAATAAGATAGAAAAAAATTATGAAGGAACATACACATTTTTTATTTCTTTTACATGTGAACGAACTGAGAAAACCTTGAATAGTTTTATATTTAAATTGTGATTTAAGCATTTTCAACATCTTCCTGAATGACATCGCAAGGCCAACGTAAAGAACAAGTGTATGTGATAATCTACTGTTAAAAACACACCACGTCTATACGTAATTCCATGTTTAAACTGTGTTTGTACACTTTTTTATAAAGTATTTTGTCTAGTAGTAAAGATATTCTGGAGGGGATTTTTAACTGCAGACTGATCATATTCAAACAAGGTACTTAAATTTTATTATAAATAGATGAAAATTTGTATTTAATCAACATCAGAAGAAGGAAAATAAATTAATTTCACATTCCACTTCTATCTTTCATATCTCATCATCAATGCACAGCACATGTTATTCATTGGGTTACTCGTGGAACATTGGCAAATTAAGTTTAGATAACTAATATAAAATATAATTGTCGAACACAAGTTTAGGGACAGAGTAATCAAATCCAAAAACAATGAGCAAGATCACGACAGCAACGATTCGAACAAGAGGCTATTAAATATTAATAATTACACATGGGATGTTAGTAGAGAACATCAAGAGTTCAACGGGGTAAAATGCAGCTGGTGTAGGACAACAGTGGACAGATACCCTTAAAACAACCCATATTTTTTGGCCATCATTAGTTGTATAGATCAAATTGGTTGCTTGCTGAAAACTGGTAAAATTGTGCTTTCCAAATTTCCAATCAAAAGAAACAGCGCACAGATACTAGAAGTATAAACATATTACAGGCTAAGAATAAATTGGGAGAAGAAATTAGGCATAGTTACATTGCCAACGTTGTTGAAATCAGGTGGCACGGTGAGCTCTCAAAAGAAACTAAACAGCTTCAACCTACTACCTCAATTCAGCTGCATTTCATAGTTTTCCATTTCCTCCTACACAAACCACTAAGATGCCCACCTATATTACCAGAATATATTGGTTTCTCACCATTTTTTCCTACCCCTCTTTATGTACAAACATCAAAAAGCAATAAGCCGAAGTGGATAAAATGTACAGCAAAATCTTTCCCCACTTCAATATAGCTTGGCAAGAACTTATCAATTATGGCCAGAGCCAATATGATGATTTTCACACATTCATAGACAAAGATTGGGCATGTTCCTTATCAGTACTATGACTACTACTTCCATGGGTAACACCATTGCTAAGTTTATCTTCCCTCATTGCATCTCCTACCAGCTGTGACTGACTGCCTGAAGAATCTCCAGTGCCGGAGTTCACGGTCTGCTGCTTCAGATACCTCTCAGTAGCATCATGGAGCAACTTCATCATGCCACCAGAATCTGAACCAGGTGATAATTCTTCTTCACGCTCTGGCTGGATATTGAGGTCAATTTGGCCTTTGAATGGCGAAGCAGATGATTTTATTCTGTTAGGATCATCATCAGAACCATCATTACCCTCTTTGTTCTGGTTCGGGCTACTATCACCAGTGTTACTACAGGGTAATGAATCCTCGTCAAACAAAATTTCAGCCGAAGGTAATGGTTGAGGATGTTGTTGCTGTTGCTTCTTACGAGTTGTCTCAGCTTCTTTTTCTGATTGCTTCTTCTCACGCCGTAACATAAGGGTCCGGAAACGTCTCTTCACTGTTAAGCATACATTACAAGTACATGTCTGCTTATGCTTGGGACCCTTTCCACTGGGAGGTTGAATGCAAACAATGCAAGAACAGCCAGGTCTGTGGCGTGGGTGTTTAGTCGTGGCCTGGGCGGATGCTGGGAGTGCCTCACCCTCTCCCAGGATAGCTAAATTCGCGAGGGTGTCAAGTCCCTCCAATGCTTCAGCATTATCAGGATCCTGTTTGGTGGCCTTCATTTTCTTGGGAACAGCTGGCAAACAAATGCATTCATTCATAGTTTTCATACTCTAATTTCACAATGTGTTCTAGGAAAGATTACGTCAATCTTTTGCGACAAGAAATCTGAAACATTTGTTCAGGTAAGCAATCAAACAATTCAAACCTGAATTACAAGGAGGTAGCAAATTCTCAAGTTGCTCTGCTGTCAGCTCTTGTGCAACTGAACAAGAAGATCTAGCAGCATAGAGAATTTAATATATAAAAAATAATGCACTATTATATTGGATACGTAGTAATATAGGTTTATAATGTTTGGGTAAATAATTCTGCAAGACAGCCTTTACATTGATAAATTTATCACGCACTTGTTCAAGTAACACATGAACTTAGTTGAGGGAAGAGGGTGAAAATTAACCACGTATCTTGGCATGATGCCTGGTATGGTAGTGTCAATTTTTCAAACCCCTCTCTCACTTCTTATATTTTCTCTCTCCTGCCAACCATGTCCCAGATGGGAAAGGATGTTACCTAGAGTGTTCTATTATACCAATTTAACATAAATAAATAGGGTACATCACAAAAATCTCACCAAAAAACTTAGTTAAATAACTAACCTTCCTACCTAAGTCTTAAATATCGGTGCAGGATACCCCATGTGTACAATGCTTGTCCATAGCACTTTTACTTGAATCCAAAATAAATATTGATCACTTTCGATCCATATTAACGGTATGAAATACATTCTTAATCTTCACTCAGGATCGCTTATTAATGTCATCTGTGTATTTACAGCTCACAAATAAATGCAAATGATAACATAGGAGACCAGAAACACCAATAAGAATTAAGACAAGGGATCACTCTTGTTACCTTTCCGGATCCCACGAATTATCAGAACACGTCCATTTTGATGGAAGAAGTGCACTTGCTGGTAATTTGCGCCACTTAAGACAATCTTCACACTGAGCCCACTGGATCTTTTCACTGGCACAAATATATATCATTGCTGGCAATTAATTTACATGGTTAAATAAAGAAAAAATATCACCAGTCTAAATGAAAAATTAAAGTGTGTTTATTGAGAACATATTGAGAAGACATGCACAACAATAAAAATATATACAACATCCCCCTAATATTTGAGCATTAGATCAAGAGGAAATGAAAGGAGAGGATGTGGAGTACTCTCAGAGTAACTTGATCCATCCTCTCTCTCCCTCTATATATAAAGAATATATTAACTACTACGCAAAAATTTGAAAGAAAAGACAAAACAGAAAGAAGGTGATCAAAATCTGATTAGGATAAGTGATTTACCCCACATTATCACTGGTAAAAATTGTTGGCTTCCCAAGCACTGGAGCTTCCTGTAAAAGCATTCTCAGCATAAAGGTTTCCACAATGCATAATAATTCCCAGAACTCCTTCAATCAAATAAAGCACCAAGAAAGATGAACACAAAGACAGACACTAAATTTAGCATACACAATCCCCAACTAAGACCAGTTGAGGATCATGAGTCTCCTCATTTCCCTTTCTTCTCAGCCAGTGCCTATTGAACTTCAGTATTTCTACTCATAAATCATATAATATATTGGATAGACTATATTTCAAATAGGATTACTAATGGCTTAACTATATTTCCTGCAACATGGACACGTCAGAACTATCATTTGGTTAGTTTATGTGACTACTTTGATGATGAAAATGTATTATCATCTTTTATTGGTAATCACCATACCAAGGAAACTTTGAATGAGGGTCTAGGTCATTATATCACTAAAAGTATTAAAGCATTAGCAATCTCTTTCTGACATGAAGCAAGAATAAACGTACCTCATATTCCTCAAATTCAAAACCTTCAATCACAACAATGCTCGGAACGAGGCTAGGAGGAGGGCGAAGCAGACCTTGAGCTTCCTGCCATGTAATCTTCAGCTCTATTAAATCCTCATTTTCAACTCTTAGACGTTTACTCTTTGAGCCCAACATGCCGCTCTTTCGTTTTCTAGATATTAATGATTTGCTCCCCAGTGCTTCCTTTGCTATGTATCCTGACTTGTCAACTTTAGACCATGAATTAGGATCAGCCAATTCAACCTAAATGACAGATATAAAATGTAGCCATGAGAATAATGTAATGATAAACATTAGCAATTACAATGTTTGATACTAACTTCACCATGTGCAGAAAATCCATTTCCAGTCTTGTTGGTTTCATTGTCCTGCAAAAAGAAATATATGTACACAACAGATATAAATTGTCAGTATACAAGTTCAAAATTTCATCAAACTATGTAAATATATACAAAATAACAAATTATTTATTCAATTGATAAATTGTCCTTTATAAGAAAATATTCACAACTATAAAATATACAAAATTGAAGTCCAATTATAAAATAGGGCATGATAAAACCTTCAGACTGTATTCGAAAGATCTTAATTAAGGAAAGTGCTGAGTTTGAACATATGTCCCATAACTAATTTAACATGTATAATTATCCATACAAGCATTCAGCTAATGATAGACATAGCAGACAAGCTTCAATCAATTATGCGACGTATAATACTAAAACATAGGTACACCTCAGAAGATTATAGATTGCAGCTGTTAAAACAATAACCTGGTCGGATGGCACAGCACTTGAAGCCTTTCTAAATCCCATAACCAACCTCCCCTCAGGCTCCAACCGGCTAAATGTTACTGAGGAAAACAATTCAGGTCAGCCATAAGACTAGAGCTCAACTAACAACCAATCAACCACAGCAAGATGATGGTATAACACTCAGAAATGTGAGGGAGAAAAAGACATAAGCACATTAAGACAGAATGATCCAACATGGATTATATTAGGCAAGATCTTGGAGCTTAATAATATAGAAGTCCTGAATACAAACATAAACAATATGGCCCAGCTTTGCTAGGCAAATTTTTCACGGAATAAATTTTAGAGAACCAAAAATCCTTTGAATTGAATAAAATAGCATCAAGTCCAGTTGTGAAAGAATTTTAAAGTAGACCTAGCTGTTGGAGAATTTTAAGAATATGTTTAGATTGTGTTGGAATATCTGTCCTGATTGTTTCTTTACTTAGAGACTGTTTTTGCACTTTTTTTCCAAATAAAATAAAATGCTGTTCTCAATTACAAGATATGTTCATAAAAAAATTAGACAAGTTTCTTTGGGGGGAAAATATTTCTCAAAGAAGAAACTGTTTTACTACTTTTATCACAAGTTAAAAATAACTCCTCATGAAAAATAGCTCTATAAATGCTGCATAATAAAATCACTATTTTTCTAGCTTAAACAAGTAAACTCTTGATTAGGTAGTTAGTTATAGGGATGACAATGGGTTGAGATGAGCATGGACAGTAACTACCCTCCCAGCCAAATAGATATTGTCCCGTGTCCTCTCCCCACTACTAGTATAAGTACCTTTTTGAAACTTACCCTCATGTTTTTTTATATTTGCAGATATTCATTAATATCTTCTAAATAAAAATTAATTAGCAAAATTATTTTGTAAGCTTTGGACACTTAATCATGGCACATATCCCTATGAATTTATAAAAAAAGAATTGTGAAATGTCTAAGATTTAGTTTAATTAATCTGTTAATTCTTCTAAAACAAGAGTTTAAGGTTCACAAATTTACATTCTTTTTCTCCCATAATATAAGTGCATAAGATTTGTCATACTTTTGAAAAGAATAAAATGATTCAAAATATTTAAAGTTTCTCTTTCTAAAATATAAATTCAAATTAGAATACACCACTCCAAGGCATAAATTCTCTATAAGCACAAAATACCACCAGTAGTATGATATCCATCTCCTTCCCGTTTACAAGATGGGTAGAGAAAAAAAACTAATCAAATTGCCTTCATGTACCTATTTAAATATCTGATTTCTATTTCTGATGGATTTTATCTGCAGGTACACAATGTCCTCCTTAGGTAGTCAGCCTTGTTAGTGGGTTTGGACTTGTACAAGCAGTATTAGTACTTGACCTAATTATTAGTATGACTACTAGGTTATGGTATTATAGCAAATTACATCTCAATAATGTATTCCATGCTTTTATCTGCCATCTTTATCTCATATTTTCTTTCTTAGCGCTTAACCTATAATCCCTAACAAATGGCCATTGAGAGATTCATCCAAATGTAACTCATGAGGCTAAAGATTCACTTAACAGGGAAGAAACATGAAGAAAACTCTACATATTCCAATGCATGAATCACCTTCGTGACAATGCCTTACCAGTGTCACCAGCCTGTAACTGCATGGACTGTATGCATGGAGTGACACCCTCTAAAACATACATTCTGCTGTTATTGTTTGGCCAGAAGCGAAATTGAAATATCCATTCCTTTCCCTTTGCGTCTAGGATTTTAAGTGGCAATCCTTCAGGCTGAGAAATTGGTGGGAAGTATGTCTGTCTCATGGAACAGAATACAATGTTATATAACCCTTGATAGAATATTCATAAAAAAAATAAGATGACCACGCCAATAAGAAACAAATTACTGCTGCAAATACCTAACAGCAATTTCACACATTCACAGCAGTTCAAAATAATATGGGCGACTAACTCTAATCTCCAGTTAATTGAAACTGTGCTTAACCAACATCAAGTACTTAAAGATTGCATAACATTATTTATCATGGAAACAATTGAATTATTAGTACATTTAACAATAAACAGATTTAACATGCTTCTGAGAAAGACTGGTCTTGAAATCCATAAAATTTACAAGAGCAGCTGGGAAGATAAGAAGACACCAGCTAGACCAGAAGCCTTTTCATCATTCAAATATCAAATACCAAATACGTTTCTAGATTTCTCCTCAAAATGTCAGGCAAGTCTCCTAACCTGACATTTTGAGGACTACAACTTCCATTTCACATTATTGAAATACATAGCAGTGGCCTTTCTTTCTTCCACCTCCATCTACTTAATCAAACTCTTCATACTTTCTACTATCTTCTACTTCATGGAAGAAACTAAAGTTAGCCTACACATTTCTTTAAACTATTTAAGCCTTATATCACCAACAAATCCCTTTTTAAGTATTGCCTCCACCTAATTATTATTAAGGGAAACTAGTATAATATATCAATCATCTGATCAACCACTTTTATTATTTGGTATTTCCTGAAAATTCTCCAGTAGCGTATATCTAACAGTACAAAAACCTCTTATCCACTGATTCAGCTAAAATTCTTAGATAAGGCATAACTTATTCATGTATTTGTATCATTCCTAAATTGCCAACATAGTCACCACTAAAATCTTTCCTCCAATCTACTGGTTATAAAACGTGTAATGAACAATGATAGGCCCTCAAATAATCTTACTAAACACCAAAGTTTCATTTGAGCATGTAATTTAGGGGCAGAGTCCCATTCTTTTTCAGTTTCTAAAGCATGGACATGTCTTCTCATATTGATATTTTCTTGGTTCCTACTCTCGTTCTGAAACACAGTGTTCCTGATCAGAACAATGAAATTATGGTATGCAGGCATTGCACAAGGCAGACAGACAATAGTTAGGTATTATTTATAGATTCTAAATTATAAATTCAATTTACTATGAACATAAAACATCTCAGAACTAATACTCAAACCAAAAATACCCCACGTGAAGCTTGAAGAATCTCAAGACCAACCTCAGCACACTTTTTGGGTAGCACTAAACGCCCAATTCGTCCAGCATCACTAGCACTCAAGGTTTTTTGAAACAAGGGAGTAATTACAGAATTTGAACTGAAATAGAGTTAAGCTACTGTAGCTTCCAGTGTGGCATTTTAGATATAATTGGAAATTGAAATGCCTTAAAATAGTTATTATTATCTAAACCAACACCACAATGGTATGTGATTTGAAGGATACTCTATGGATATTTGTTGTAGTTCCAGATCAGTACAGCGGGGCCAGTACCGTGGCAGTAACTGGTTTCTTCCTCGGGCATCTGCTCGAGGCCGCCCATTGCGAACCTGAGCCTCACCTGATGAGTCAGGTGTTAAGTGCATAGTGCCATTAAATTGCTTTACTGGAGGTGGTGGAGTCTGTTGTGGATGACTTCCAGTTACCCCAAGTTGACCATTTCTTTCATTTTGGCATGAATTAGGCACAGGCAAACCAAATGGTTGAGGAGATGACTCTTCCTTCTGAGAAGGAGGTTGCTGACACATAGTTAAACATGAACTTGCTTTGTCCTCATTCCTCATTCCTGCAATATAATGAAGAATCAGGTTATACAGTCATCTTCAAGTTATCAAGAGACCATTCCAAGTTCTAAACTAAATATCAGAAAAGGTAGAAAGTTCAGGGAATGTAAAAGATTGCATTACCATTCATGAGCTTCATCTCTCGTGGGCAAATGGTGACGTTCCAATGAACTGGTAATCCAGAAAAATCCTCACTTTTCTTTTCCAAGGCTGAGGCAGGTAACCTTTCATTGCAATACATTTTGTCAAAGCTATTGGATAATTCAGCTAAAGAAGGCACATCTGGGATCAGGTCAGATGAAGAAGCAGAATTGAACAGACTTGGCGCTTGCTTCCATGGTACAGGACCTGATCCAGCCAACTGATTCCAACCTTTGGCAGATAGGTCTCTAAGTCTATCTGATAAACGATTTTGAAGGGAAAAAGATTGTGGCCATGGTAGGTTTGACGGCTGAGAAACAGATAACAAAATAGAGTTACTGAGCCAAATCTGTTTCATCCAATGATCCATACAGGACATATGAATAAGATATTGTGTAAGCATCATGTTTCAGCAATCAATCAGCTTAATTATTCTTCACGGAGTTTAAGATTTAAAAAAGTGCATCTGTAACTAAGAGGGAAAGGACATTTGTAAACCCTGGGTAGAAAAACAAAGGCAAGCCCTGACCGGTTTGATATTTATAAATTTAGATATCAGAAATAAAACAAAACAATATAATACAAAAGCAGTGTCAAAAATATGTATCAGCAGGTTTGTCAGGCCATAATTTACTTGGAAGAGCAGCAAAGGAAAATCGAAGTAATTATTTAAAACAGTATCAGATGTTACATTCATTATAATTGATTCTGTTGATTATTTTTTATGTAATTATAATAAGAATTTCAGCTTCAATATTTTTCAATTTTGTCAACATACTTCTTGATGAGCTGGTACTTTTCAGATTTGCTTTGAAGGAACATTTAGTTTTATTTAACCCCAGAATCTTTTTACCTCATTTGTCCATTGACAATGATATGACAACTTCAAGAGTTCATTTCACCAGAAATGGAACAAAGAAGGCATTATGCATGTCATACAAAGCACTAAAAGTCAGGCCCAATCAGGGGCAGGAAAGGAATAATGACCTATCAATGGAAAAACTTACCAGAATAATATTTTTGCGGGCACATGCATAACATTCAATTCCTCCAGGATCCAACAACATAAAGGAATGACTTGAAACGATACACCCACAATGAATTCGCTGCAAAGAATGATTAATAATCAGTTAAAACTACATAATTCAAACTCAGTTTCGGGAATCAATATTAAAACCCCCTCAGCTTTGGGAATCAATTTGCATCAAACATAGTAACAGGAGCACTATACAACATTCAGGCAACATTAATCATCAACTAAAACTAGATAATTCAAACTCCGTTTTGGAAACCTATGTAACATCCCTTGCATTGAACATAGCAACAGTTTAATTAATAAAGCATTTAAAACATCCATGAAAAAGATTAGGATCATCTTTCTACAAGTCTGAGAACTCACCTTTCTATAAAGCATTCAAACAACATTAATCATCAATTAAAACTACATAATTCAAACTCAGTTTTGGAAGCCTATGTAACATTAATAAAGCATTTCAAACAACCATTAAAAAGATTTGGCTTACCTTTCTACAAGTTTCACAACTCCTCCAACCAGAAGCATTTGAGTGAAAAATCTCACAGAACCTCCCTTCTTCAAAAGCAGAGCTAAGTATCACAGAACAACCAAAGTTTACAAAAATGATAGCAGATATGCAGCAAGAAAACAATATCAAAACAAACGGTAAGCAACAGGCAATATTATTTACATGCGGCTAACTAAATTTTTTATCAAAATATTTATTTATTTTAAAGTACAAGAGACCAAAGTAAATATATATATATATATATATATATATATTCAGTTTGTATATAAATCAACCACAGGCATAAAAATATAAATAATTTTGAAGAATCACATTGAATAAAAACAATTTGGGATTAACAGCACAAAATTTGTTTAGAGGTAAGCATTCAGACAGAATAAATAATTACATTAACTAAAGATACATAACTGCATTCAGATGAATATATATAGAAAACAATATATGAGAACCACAATAACAAGAGAATAAAAAAAATGTTGAACTCAAACTAAGCACTTGAAAAGTACACACAAATTGAAAATCTTCATGTAAATAATAATTGCTTCAAAAGCCATCACTGGAAAAAACAACGAATAAGCTCCACCAGCGAACATCCACTGAAGCAACAGAAAAGACAGTCATGATTCATTAGTAAGGAGATCTACAACTAGAGAAGCAAAGACGGATTATCCATTTAATATTAAACTAGAGCTCAATGAAACCAATCCTGGTATCTTACTCGATATAAATCCTGATTCCTATGGTGAGAACTATTTCCTTAAAATTAAATGTTGCCCAAAAACACAATTGGGTAATAGTTTCTTTAACTTTCCTCCCTCTCTTTAGAAGAGACCATTTTTCCATGCTAAAGAGTAGATATTAAGTAAAAGCACTTAGCTTATACAGCAAATAGCACATCGCATACCACTTTGGAAAAATAAAACACATTAATTTAAATACTTTTGGTATATATTTAATATAATTCAAAATTACAATATCGTGTGAATAAACTACTAATGTATATTGAAAACTAAACTCCCAGTGAAAAAATTATTCATACAACTCCAGAATAACCAAATTCTAAATGACTAACCACGAAACCTATCATTAAAATATTTTAAATAATATAATTACCATTCTTAAAAAAAAAAACATCAAATTATCAACAATAATGAGTTCAACGTCTTGGCATAGACCTTCATCGACTACAACAACCCAACATTTTCCTGCTAGGTACAATTGGTCACATGAGTCAATCATCACTATCAAGATCTACCAGAAATCAAATTATCAGTAAAACAATTTTAAGCAAGGCACTTTTCAAAAGTTTCTATTCTTAAGATTTCTTAGGTCCTCATCTACCCCTTTTAATCAGACCACCTTGCATTGTCGGAGCCTCCAATGGTCTCCGTATCAAATGACCAAATCACCAAGCCAAGTTTCATTGCAACAGTACAAACTCTCACGCGAGGCATTTTCATTCCTAAATCTACATTCTTGAAAGTCTACTTCAGAATTTTTGTCTCCACTATATTTCTGTTTCACTTTTGAGACCACCACTGTTGTCCCTACATTTACTAATATAACCCATCCACTGGAATTTTCCTTGGAATTTGATAGGCATAAATAGATCAGAGATACAGAAGTTGCAAGATAAATCAGGCTGCAATCTCAGTGAAGGTCAATCTTTTGTTTTAGATAATAACTAGTGCAGAGGATAGAAAAAATAATGGGTTTAAGGTAAACATTGATCAGAAATTTAAGAGACCAGGGACTGTTAAAATAGTAAAAATATGGTTAACATAGAAAACAAAAATACCAGTACTAAGAAACTTTTCACAATACAGTAGTACACTTATAGGTACGAAGACCAGGTGCATGTGCCATATCTCAGTATTAATAACTATGCCACCAATGTCCATGCTTAAACAAATACACTAAGCACAGGAGCTCATACAAAATTTCTGATCTAGTTGAAACATCGATAAGAAACAGCTACGAATCCACAACCACATAATTTGAAAAGCACTAATCCCATCTTCATCCCTAACTTAGTTCAAAATTTGAAACACCACAGAATTAGAAAAACTTCTATTACATGTCCGACAGCAATAACTGTAAGAACTAAGGAAATCAAAGACGTCTGTGGAACCCATACCAACGAATCCCCAAAGAATAAGAGAGAGACGTTTGGCATTGACTTCAAAATGGTTTGAAGTCTATCTCTCCCGTTAAAAAAAAAAAAAAAAAAAAACTAATTCACAGCACAAACCTAATTACCTAACACCCTCCAAAACATAATTTCCTTTTCCTTTTTTTTCCAAACAACATAATAAAGCAGTAAACTTTATCCAAATTCGCAGGAGGAATGCCCAAACCTAGAAACATCAGCTAACTAATAATAATCCCAATCTCTTAACTACTGCCACGTGTAACTTGCTCAAAAATCCAAACTCCAAAAATAAACAGAAACATAGAAATAAAAAGGTTTGAATTTTCTTAAAAATAAAAGAAGAAAGAAATAGGAATTTTTGTTTTGTAAAAAAATTCAAATAGACCACTCCATGAGTCAACAAAACAGTGAAGCAGTAAAATTACTAACCCGCATCGATCACAAAGTTCAGCTAGTTCTCCACTCCGGAGTCTCCAACCTTTCTTAGGTCTTTCGGCCTTCAATTCTTTGCAGTCCGAATTGAAGCACAGTTTGGACGAAGAAGACGAAGCCGAAGCCATAGCGGCTCTGAACCCCACCGAATCCACACCCGCAACGGTTGGTGCGGCCTGATCTGCAAATCAGCGAGAAGGAGAAGAAGGAGTGAGAGAAACAGAAGAGGGTTTTAGAGAGAGAAAGTAGAGGAGAAGGCGTGAGTACTAGTGAGTGTTTTTTATGTGAGAGAAAGAGAGAAAAAACGGGGTTTTTAAAAAAAGCAGTAGTTGTTGTACCACTACTGTTCATTCGGCGTCGTCGTTTCTCTCTCCCTCCTTTTCACAACTTTTCTTTCTCTCATTCTCTCTCTTCCTCCTCTCCACGGACAAAATGGGAAAATTTCACATCATCATTACTTACACTCTCTTTTCTAACTACATTCCTGGTTTAAAAAATCAAACCTAATTAGATTATATATAATTTTTTAATCAATAACTAAGATTAAGCTTGAAAAAAAAAAAAGTCGTTATTAATGCTTTTATTTCTTCTTATATTGTTGTCATAATTTCATTCCATATAAAAACAAACCATAAGACTTTTAAAACACACTTCGTTGCCACCAGCCTCTTCTTGACGTGGGTTAGGCTTTGTCCCTTTTCATATTAAAGACGAAAACAAACATGATGGTCTCATTTAATAAAATAATAATAAATTTGAAAGTTATTTAAAAGTTACGTAATAATAATCTTCTATTCTAAAAAACTAACATATATTTTATTTATATAGTAATTATCATTTATATTTTACATAACATAAAAATACGTTTCCTCAATCTAAAAGTGGAAGCACACATGGCAGTCGTTGATAATATACAACCTGGTTCAACTATAAACTATAACGAGTAAAATTCCAATGTTAGGGTGTAAAAATTGAGAGTGAAACAAACACGATAAGGGTAGATCGGTAATTACAGGGGGTTTGACTGGTGCCGGACGCGTTGGAATCGAAGTTGAGGAATGAGGATAATGCGAGCACGTGAAAGGAATGGAGGGGCGAGTGGAGTCATGCTCTCACGCGCTGCGGATGGGGGTTGTTGAGTTCGAATACCCAATTATCTTGCATGGCCCGCGAGCTCACGCTACGCAATCACGTAATTCGCAACTCCCATCACCTGCTTCCACTTCTATGCTGTCTAGGGCACGCAGCTTCTAGCAACACGCGCTTTTTCTATTTTAAGTCTTCACGTTATATTTCGAACATGTACTTTTATGCGCCCCTGTTTTCCATCATAATTAAAAAAAAAAAACATTTAATGTTAAATTATATCTGACAGTATTATTAGTGTAATAATTAACGTCAATGTTTGACGAAGCTCTATTTGATGATTTTTTGAAAGATAAATATAAAAAAGTATAGGTCTTGTTTATATAGTTATAAGCAATTAGTTACTTTTTTTAAAACTATCTATCAATATACACAAAGTTACGCACCGAAAAACTTTAAATATTCATATTTTTATAATAAAAATTATTCTGAATAAAAATGTCTCCCTTAATTTGAAATTAATTATACTAAACTTTAAAATAATAAAAAAGTCTCTTTCGCAAAATGATATAATATGATCATTCGTTGTTATCAAATTACATAAGGACATATATATGATATTGTTAAAATATATGAACTGCTAGAAAAAATAAGATAAAAAAAAACTTAGGAAAAAAAATCTAGTTATCGTTTTATATTTATATATATTTATTCCCTATATGTAGGACAAAACGAAAACAGTAGGTTACTTACTATTCTATCTATAATTAATATTCCCTGCATAACAATTAAGATTATTTGTGTTTTGTAAAAGATGTGATTGAAATGGTTGGAGTTAATTTGAAAGAAGTTAAAACTAATGTTATATATTTAAAATGATTTTAGTGTTTTAATATCAGTTAAAAAATATTTTTTAAAATGCTATTAAAAAATAAACTGCATCTTAATCTTTTTTTCCTAAATAGTTTCAACAAGCGATTACATTCGTTTTGATTTATTTATGCAAATTAGTGTTTTACTAATTATAAAGAAGTAGGCAAGCTTATTTATTTGATTCAACTACACGCAAGTTTTTATGTAACATATGCAAATAAATATCATAGTGTGTAGGTAGAGTCAACAACTTCCAGAATAATATGCACGTGTCGATATTCGATAATATAAGTAAACCAATGACTAACTAATAAAACCGACGAGAGTTTCATCAACTATAATTAACTACTAATAAAAAGGTTAGCAATTACTATTCTATAATAATAATAATAATAATAATTAGGGAAGACAATATTCATGACTTTGGCATCATGAAAGTTCAGGATAAAATATATAAATATTAGTTAACCAATAATTAGTATATGATTTATTATTAATTACTACGTTGAAAATTAGAGTAGTTTTACGTAGAAATTGCTGTAGAAAAGGATAAGAAGAGCGAAGAGGTAGATTTGTTAACTTTGAATAGATAGCATGCATAGTGGAGTGAAAAGATTGAGAGAAGAGGCGTGTTCCATGGTGGAAGAAGAAGTTTGGGAGCAATGGATGTTCCAACCAAATGCATGCATTGAAGTTGAAAACGACAAGGGCAACAACCAATTTGACAGGTGTGGGAAAATGGTATAGTTAGTCATCCTTGATTATCGCTGGAGATGAAGCAGGAATAAACGGTTTTGATTTTTGGTATGGTGGTGTGATAAACACTAGAGTGTGAGAATAAAGACACATTCGCAGAAATTGACATTGATCTGGGATCAAATAATATATTATTAATAAATAAATATCAAATAATATATTATTAATAAATAAATATAAAAGAAAGAAAGAATATAAAAAATTGAAAAGATAAAATTGTAAATATATACTTAAATATATTAAATTATCATTAAGTTTAAAAAAACAAAATCATAAATTATATAAAAATTATAAAAGCTGAGAAGGATTAGAAGAATAAAATTATAAATATACAAATAAATATATTAAATACTCGATATATTTTGAGGACTAAAATCATTAATTATACGTGAGTTACAAAGTTATGAGAGAAGATGCGCAGAATATCAGCACTGCAAGCACACGTTATTTTTGGCACAAAAGTGATCAACGAACCAATCTCGACCACATCTAAGCGTCTCTATGATCCATGTAGCAACAACGTTGGTGTTTCCTCCCAAAAACCAACACGTTTCCATAGTGCCCACGCTGACGGATTACCACACGTCCATCACCCCCTTTTATTATTGCAACCATACAATTCATAGATTCATTCAAGGATAATTCAAATTTCTTCCAACACATCACCAATCATCATCTTCGTAAATCGATGCTTTTTTAACAAAATATCTCCACACTTTGTTTCGGCACATGCTACGTATGATACAGATCCTTTGACCTCAATTGCTGCAAATTAATAACAAAATAAAGCGTGAGAGATTGATTGGCTTTGTCTTGTCGCCCCTCGCTTTTGTCAAGAACCAACATTCACTTGATTCACATGAAGGAACAAAATCTATCCTCCAATGTCAATTCTGAAATTGTACCTGCCCAATCTAAATATTCGTCACCCATTATCAAACCATTTAACATCATTTTAAAGTTTTATATCTTCTTTTGTTGAAGATTATTATTTATTCATTTTTAATAAATGTTTTCGAAAGATATTGTAAAAAATTCAGTCACCGTGTACAAACATAAATAATATATAATATATAATTATTAGCACATAGGTTTATATAGGAAAAAAATAGTAAAAGGAATAAGATGAGAACGTAAGCAAGAAATTAAGCATTAAAACATTATCTTTTGGTTTATCTCTTGTGACGATTAGAGTTTCGAACTAATCTTATTAAAACTATGCTATTTTATATATTATATATCTTCTTTAGTTATCCAACTTTCTATTCATATATAGTTAAAAATATGAGTTTTTAATCATTGTCGTGCAAAACTCTGGGCAAATTTATTTTCACTTAATTTATATATCAATACTATTTGACTTTTATAATGACCTTTGTCATGACATGTTTGATGTCACAGATTTTAAAATAGTGTTATCTTATTTGCAATAATACTCTCCACTAGTAACATCAAATAGGACAAAAGAAACTTTAGGTTCAATTTTTACATATAAATATTCAATTACCCATGATTATGCCATATGTCCGACGTAGTAATGTTATAGCTGTTGAATCATGGTAATGAGTGTTTTTAAAGTATTGGATAAGAAAATAGTAGTCATATATTATATCAATAAATAGTTTAGATTTTAATTTTAAAGTAGTTGAGAATATTTAATAATGTATTCATGTTTTTTACACAATTTCTTAATGTACTTGTGTTTCGGTGGAATTTTGATTGATTTTGATTCTAAAGTGTATAAGTCCTAATCGAAATTCTACCACGTAAGCTCTTTTTGACTTAAAGCTATGAATTTGATTTTCAATCGATAACGTGTATGAGAATCGACAATTACATGTATCGAAAACTCGTTTTTGATATTTTTGGATTTTAAGTACCGAAAGCAGTAAAGACGTCAAATCGAGAAAGCAGAATCTTTAAAGTGCGAGACAATGTAAAGTGCTGTGAAAAGTAAATAACAGGAAATCGAAACATGCGGAAATCGAAATGACCGGAAATCGAAATAGACAGAATATTGAATGACTAGACACTTAAATGCAGAAATTTAATTTGACATCGAATCGAAATGATATTGAATGTAAAGTACAAAACATGAAATTGCTGAATCGAAATTGCTCGAAAGTAAATTACCAAGGAAAATAAAGAAAGCGATAAATGTACTCCGTGAGCAGGGAAATCCAGATCGCCAGAAACTTCATGGTGTTCGTCGTTTCTCCGGTAGACTTTTCACTACTGATTCTGTGCTTCTGCCAATTTTTGCTCCCTTATTTCTTCCTTCTTTCTTCTATTTATAGGGTGTAGCTCAAGCCTTCCAGGAGCAGTTAACAAGACTGATACCACGTTCTACGTGCACAAGGCAGTTCCTCTTTTACGGTTTCCCACGTTCTCACGATCCTCGACTCTTCTATAATTTAGAAATTGCTTTCCATACGTGCATTTTGACTACTTCCCTTCAAGGTTTAGCCGGGGTTTTGATATCTACGTAAAACGATCTTTCCCTTTGACTTCGATTTTATCGAGCACTTTGCATGCCTGGCATCGATTCGTTTTAACCTTATCGCCATATATTTCAAATTTCTTGGTTTGTTCCATATTGAGCCTTCGACTATTGTTCCTACTCCTCCGTCCTTACCTTTCGATTTTATGTGTCACATCTTTTATAATCGAAAAGTTCATTTTCAATTATCGATCATATTTCTCGATTCCATACTAACAAAATGCCCCCTTGGAAGAATATGAATAGTTTGTTTATATTCTTTCAACTTTTCCCGCCTAAGTGTTCGGAGGCCCGTAAAGTTTAGGGTTTAGGGTTTCTGGGGTTCTAGGTTAAGAGGGGTTTTAGGTTTCTTTTCCTCTTTACGTCGCCATCATATCAGTCTGCTGCTTTCACAGTACGCTGCATTTATTACCTTTCACTTCCGTCGTTCCATCTCCCTATACGATTTCCCCTTAACCTCTCAACCTATCTTTACTTTGGCTTTACGCGAACTTTTATCCTCTTTTGCAATCTTGTCTTCTTCCCTGAGCTCTTGCCTTCGTCTCTGTTACCTTACCTGTCAACTTCTTCCTTACTACTTCTCTAATCTTACTATAATGGCCTCTTCATCCAAGTCATCTGATTTCTCGGCTCCTCCTCTTACCTCATCCGCTTCTACCTTGCTGGAGATTAACAACCAGCAGTTTGCTCCCTTGCCTCTGATGGAGGAGGCCTCCAAAAGGATTGCTGAAACTCAGGTATTAGTTCCTTACACTGTTGGTGGGGTTGGTTTTGGTTTTGGGGGCCCCATTCTTTCTGGTAGTGGAACCGTTTCTCCCCTCGCCCTATCAAACAACCCTGCTCTCGTTCATCAGCCCGAAGTTAGGATCGACTTTTTGAACTTTGTTTCCAAGGTGTATAGGACAGGCCCTCCCTCTAAAAAATCTTTGTTCACTAGATGGTTTGATAGGGTCAAGGCGAAATTCGGGAACCATTGGAGGAACGTGGGGATTTTTGATTTTCTACACTTGTCTCAATGTGACCTATCCTACCTCGACATGGCTATGTTCCTGGCTGTCGTGCACTTGTGGAATAAAGAGATACATGCGTTGGAATTACCTTGCGGTCCCCTCTCACCTACTCTTCTCGATGTTGCAGCCATCACTGGGTTAAAACCTATAGGGGAGAGATACTTTCAGGGTGCATGTCCCTCGGATAATTTGTTGAAGTCTAAACTCGATTGGGAATCGAAGGCCTACGGGCATTTTATTGAGAAACATTTCGTTGATGACCCTTCAATAGATGTTACTGATGAAGAACATGTAGCGTTTTTGGTGTACTGGCTGTGCACCCAAGTGTTTTGCCCCCGATCGATCCAAATTTCCCCCCATCTCTTCAACCTTGCGTATCTCCTTCACTTAGGTCAACCTCGCCTATGTTTGGCCAAGCTTTTGTTAGCACATGTATATACCGTTTTCGACGAGGCTGTCGAAATCTTAAGTACTCCTAAGGCATCGGGGAATTTTTCTGGCCCTGTTTGGTTCATACAGCTATGGTTAACATCCATTTTTGAGAGCATCCTTCCTCGATATTCTACTGTCCCCCTGAGTGTAAATATAGAAGGGGCACGATTATCCTCCCGTCACCCTCGCTATAAATCTGACGAAGCTGAAAGAATTAATGGTTGAGTTCAAGAGGGGGGGTGAATTGAACTTAAAAACTTTTTCGCAAAACTTTACTTTCTTTTGGAAGAATGAGTTATCTTTATTCAATTCTTGAAAAGATGATTTGATTTAAAACACAGCAAGATTATATTCAGAATTTAAAAGAGATGATAGAAAGAAATCAACACACAAATTTATACTGGTTCACTCTAATCCAGAGCTACGTCCAGTTCTTGACAAAACCTGTCAAGTTTTCACTAATACCAAGTGACAATTACAACCCGTAGATCCTCACCAATCTACACCAAGAACTATCTTTTCAACCTATAAGATAGAATCTTGAAAAACACCCAAGTAACCAAATCCGATTCATTGTACCAAGTGTAGATTACAATCCAATCTACACAATTCACACGATACAAAAGAATAAGGAAAGAAGAAACCTGGACTTTGAATTCTAATTGCCCAAGCACCAATTCTAAAGCACTCTCTCATCGTGAATGACCACAATGTTGATCAAAGCACCTTATGATATGACAAAATCTTGAATGCGAGAGAGAAAACGTAGATGAACGATTCACGATTGATTTCTCAAGTTTTCTCAAGTAGTGTGTTGTATATATTTTAAAAGATAGATCAATACTTGTTTATATAGAGTAAAACAAAGTTTCAAGACGTGTTCTCTATCAAAATCTGTTACGAGAGAAAAACAATCAATTAAATTTGAAGTATATCGGATAAAAAGTGATTCTGACCGATTAGAATAGAAGAATAATCGATTAGATCTGAATTATGATCGATTATATTTAAACTATGATCGATCAGAATATATTTCAACTGATTGAAAC